ATATGAGCCCAATCCGATAAAAATTGACCGAGTTATGAATTTTCGAAGTTTCGGCCCAGATGAAATAATATTCAGCATTCAGGATTTTCGGCGTGTCACGCACTCTGAGCAAAAAATGAAGGCCTTTTGAATACCGTTTGAACTCAATACCTTCTGTGAAAATGTAGCCAACTCAATTTGTGAAATTTTGGCGCCAGAACCAACTCGATACGATGAAAATCGACCAAGTTATGATTTTCTGAACATGATGCAAATAAACTTCTATCACAAATTTTCTGTATGAAAATACTTGATAAATCCACATTTTTGAAGACCTTCTGATCGAAATTGGCTTCCAGCCGTGAGAGATGAAAACGTAGATAATGTCAAGAAGGAATTTTGGCCACCAGAACGGGTTCAAAACGAGCCACGATCTTCAAGTTATGAATTTTTTAGCGCGTAAAAACTGCACTTTCAGCACACTTTTTCACCATATTTCTTCGAGAAAACTCACACATTCGGATACCTTCTTTAAAGAATTGACTCTTGAGCCGAACCTGAATTTGAGAATATGTTATCAGAGATATCTTGGCGAAAGAACACCTGAATATGACGCGCTGGGTTGGACTTGTGAATTTTTCTTGAAATATTTTGAGAAATATGGGAGGGCAAATTTTGGGGTACAACACCCTTGTTTACAGCAAATGATATTAAAAGTATGATAGATTCTAACTTGGCGATTGGAGAAAAGGTTTCTGTATAGTCTATCCCCTCTTGCTGACTATAACCTTGTGCTACCAGTCGTGCTTTGTTTCTGATGACTTCTCCTTGCTTGTTCAGTTTGTTTCTGAATACCCACTTTGTTCCAATGACGTTGAATCCTTTTGGTCTGAGAACCAGATCCCATACGTCATTTCTGGTGAATTGATTCAATTCCTCCTGCATTGCCAGAATCTAGTCATTGTACATAAGCACTTCATCAATTGTTGTTGGTTCAATCAGAGAGACCAGTCCCATGAGGGATTCTTCAGAGTTTCTGAATGTTGATCTTGTTCTGATTGGATCATCCTTTTTTCCCAGTATTTTATCTTCTGGGTGAGCAATGCTGCTTCTGGATAGCCTTTTCTGAAGTTGATCAACTGAGATATTTTTTCAGAGATATTTTTTCCGATTCAGACTCCCCCGCCTGAAGATACATTTTTTGAATGTATTGTTGTACACATTGTAAAATCTATATGTTTCAATACATATATTGTTTATTTTTTCATGCACTTTTGTACACAATAATGATTCTGAGTTCTGGTTCTGCATAATTCGGAAGTGCACTTCCGAATTAACCTTTAATTTAAAAACAAAAACAACATGTGGCTTATTTCGGATATGCACTTTCGAATTCACCTCTTATTTTTATAAAATCGTGGTGTCTTCGGATGTATATATCCGAAAACCCCTATTTTTGATAAAAATAGGGAGAATTCGGAAGTGCACTTCCAAAATATGTCATGATAAGATTTCTTTGGTCCATATTGCTGCAAAAAGTCTATAAATTGGGTATTCTATTTCATTTGTTTATCAATCACATACCACAACCAGAAATGACACAAACATATCCACACCTTGCTTTTGTCTACTTCAGTGGTGCGCAATCGCCACTTCAATTCAGGTTCTCATAGGACATGCAGTTTACCGAGCTCATTACCATACTGCATTCTCTCTTGCAATATCCATAGAATTGAAAGGTGGTCAAGCTTGAGTATCATTCACCTTTGATTGACACTAAAGGAAACTTAAAGTTCACCATGTTTGAGCTTAAGAACAACGGGGATTTAGAGGTTATGTGGGATATATTTCAACAATACTCTTCTAGGGTCCGATTGAGATGGATGCGGAGCTTCAAAGATCGACCAGAGATGTTATCAAGATGTTGCGACGTCCTCAACTACCAGTTTATAACAACGTGTAACTTTAATTTTCTGCATAACTATTTATGTAACTTGTTTGAATTATGTTGAATGAATGTTATGAATTATATTGAATTTTTGTTCTTCCCAGGGATACTTTCGGATATGCATTTTTCAAAATGTCTAACAGGTGACTTTCGATATGAATATCCGAAGTAAATTTTATAATTCACGTTGGTGATCCGTTCGGAGATGCACTTCTGAATTCTGGGGATATTTTTGAAATTTCGCCATAGGTGCTGAAGAAGTGCACTAGGTGTAAAAAGAAATTCTCTCATCCTTATACGTACAACCAAAAATGCTCACACAATGGAGACATTAATAAAAATTTCACTACCAAATTTCAAGTTCCAAATCCTTTCCAAAATTCTAGCAGATGGGCTTACCTCACTCATGCATGTTCTCATTTCTAAGGAGCATATATGCTTTACACAAAGGCTTTATTCCTGGAAGAAACATTAGGGTTTATTCATGACATAAAACTCTATAAGTTTTCTAAACACAAATGAAATACTTTGAGTACAAATGTGTTTGGACAAATTTTCAAACACTTGTGAAATTTGTTCTTCTCTTTCCTAAAAGAATATGATCAAATGATATATATAACTCAAGTAAAAAAAATAAGATTAAACTTTTTATCTGATATAAAAATTATGCAATAGAAAATGTTTTTATGAAATATTTTAAACTCTGTAAAATATGTCAGGAAATAGGTGATTTTGAAAATAAATCCATCTGATAATAATGCACCAAATACCTCAAGAAAATTAGAGAAATGGTTAAAAAATAATAATGAAACCATGCAATAATATGGAAAGGTTTCATGCCCATTAGATATGAAGAGGTATAACAATGGTTCATTATTTTTTCAAAACAAAGAGAGGTTAATCGACTTACACATATAGTTCAATCGATTGACCTTTTCATAACGTTAAAAAATGTGAAAAACAACAAGGTTAATCAATTTACATTGAAACAACCGGCTGACCAATCAACTGATAATGAAATCAATGAAGTCGCCATCGAACGTTTTTTTATCCCACAAGAGGGGAAAGGTAAACATCGAGTAAACCTGAGAAGGGTGAAATCAAGGTCGAACGACCAAGAGGTAAGGGTAAGGGAGTCTGTTACGCGAGGGGAAGGTATTAGCACCCCACGCGCCCGTAGTACTCTACGGTATCCACTCTTGTTATCTATCTTATGGGTGTGTTTAATCTATATCTAAACTGTACAGGAAATGCATGCAAAAGGAATGAGAAAAGAATGTAGGGAAAATGAAAATTTGTGCTTGCTCGGGCCCTACCCCAATGCCTATGTATCCCTTTTAAGGAATCAGAGCAGCCTTAATTCGACTAACAAGTTTTTGTTGGTTTGTATTTTTTAATGAACAATATTAATTTCGCCTTCTGCCGCAACTCGACCTTTGGAGACTTACGCGTCAGCACGGAAGTGAATTAACATGTTCTTTCTGAAAAGAGTTTGAAAGAAAAAGCCCGAAGGCGCCAAAGAGTTTGCATTGGTTGATTTTTTTTTACCTTGTAGAAGGATTTGGAAGTTGTTAGATGTTTTAATATTTTTCAAAGAAAAAGGAAATTTTTGTTTTAATGCATGGATGCAAAAGAAAGAAAAACATCTAACGGCGACTAACCTAGATCTATCCCTAATGTTATCATACAATGATTGAACCTAAGATTGAGTTTTGAAGGGAAATATTTACCCTAAGTTAACATGCTTGGATAACAATCCTAATGTCTATCTCAACTCATCATCTATAGAAAAATCAAGAAGTCCTAAAGGAGCATAGCAAGGGTCTATCACCTAAAACTATGTCTATCTCGAATCATCATCTATAGTCGAATCGAGAGCTCTTAAGGGAACATGCAGAGGATATATCATATAAAACATGTACACAAAGATAAAATCAAACAAACAAGCCAATAAGCTCAAGAGAGCTAAATCAGGAGAGATCCTATCTAGGCTACCATTACCTAAGAAAGTCTAACAAAACTATCCTATAGGGAGCATGCAATGAGAGCGAAGTCGTGATCTCAATTTCTAAATTGAGTGACTCATCGATCAACAAGAAATAAAGGAAAGCAATGAAATACTATAGGGAACATGCACTAAGAGCGAAGTCGTGATCTCAATTTCTAAATTGAGTGACTCATCGATCGACAAGAAAGTGAACAAACACAAGCACAACACATATAGCAAATGAAGTGCAGAATGCCTACTACAGGTCTTTAAACAGTGACTTCGAGCGCACGCTCTTTATTTCCTACTTCTCATGATATCTAGAAAGCAGTAAAGTGCTGAAATGAGATAAACAAGAGAAAATACCAAACGAATATCAATCCGTAGCAAAGCGCATCAAAACAAAGAAACCCGACGATCTTCGCGAAAAGCTTCACTAATCAAAGAAAAGAATCAGAAATCAAATGCTCGGAATAAATGTTTATGCATCATCGATGTGAAAATAAATCACAATCGAAATCTCAAGCACATTTGCATATCATACAATAAACCTGCATAGGATTCCAGATCTCAACAAGCCAAGGTGAATCACAAATTTCAAGAAAACAAAATGATTATTAAACATAAACCATAGTAAAAAAATTCTAATCAAAATCTAAAAAAAGAAATTCTAGAAAAATTTCATCATACTCCACTATTTTTATCATTTTCAATTATTAAAATTCAAAAGAGGAATGAAACCAGAAATCAAATAAAAAGACTAAAAAAGAAACTAAAACAAAAACCAAGACTCAAAGGAGGTACATGGCAAAAATCCATGGGGTGAGTCGTAGTAAAGAGGCGCTAGGCCCCTTCTAAAAGTCCATAAGCTATTTTTTGTTTTGTTTTTGTTGCAGCTTCCAAAAATCTTGTAGTATGGGCTTGAGAAGAATGAATTTCGGTCCAGCGTCAACTTTAGGTTAAAAGTTGTTGGGACTTTTGAACTCCTTCTCTCACTTCTGAATGCGAACGGCGTCGGAACTTCTCATCTCATTCTTCGATCGTCCATTGCCTCCGTCGCGATTCTCCTTCAACCCAACATCTCACCTCACGATCTCCGGCGTCGCCTCACATCCCTGTGATAACATTCTTCGACTCAACATCCATCTTGCTTCAGTCTCGGTTCTGTCCATCTCAGTCTCTCTCTTTGAACGCGACACGACGACTTCATCATCTTCTTTGTGCCATCTCTTCACCGATATCCACCGCATCTTCAACGTTCTTAGTCTGGCTTCGATTCCATCTTCGATCTAACTCCGATGCGAGCCTCCGTCTCATTTATCCGCGTACTCACGGTGCTTCGGTTTCGAGGTTTGCCACGATTCTACCTCTCATATGGTTCTGATTCAGCTTCAGCTGCAAAACACGGTTCCGATTTGATTTCTCAGTTACTGAAATCTCAGAAAAGCTAAGGTATGCCTTTCATTTCTGACGCTCCTTCTTTTCTATGATTCTAAACTTGCTTCTTATGGTTCTTGCAGTTTTGCATATGCCTGATGATGATAAAAATGCAATGCTCAGAAATTGTTGTTGCTGACTTTGTTGCAGATTGAGCGTTGCTGATGAACAAAGATGAAGATGATGATAATTGCAAGGATGCGGTTTGATATTGATAACAGATAAAGATTGGAGGTCTTTCGGTTTTGATGATGAACGAAGGTTCCACGGTGTGGAGCTATTGTTGTAACGTTGATTCAGAAGTAGAAGGTTGGAGGTGTATGGTGATGAAGATGATGCAGTGAATGATGAAGATGTGTGAAGGTAACCAATCACAGAAGATTGAAGATACCCAATCGTTATGGAGAGAAAGAAGAGAAAAGAAGTAGAGAGTGTTTCCTGGTGATGGATCCGTGAAAAAAAATGAAGAGAGAAGTTTTGAAGGTTGCCGAGAGAGATATCTAGATTTCTCTCAGAGAGATTGAAAGGTCAATCTCTCTGTTATTTTTCTCAACTTTTTTTTAATCGAGTTTTTTTCTTCTCCTTTTCGGTTATTCTCTTGTATTCTGTTATGATTCTGTTAGAGTTAGTTATTCTGCTTGAAGTTTGTTATTGTGGAGGGCTGTTATGGTAGTTGGAATTCGGTTAGAGTGGTCCTTCTGTTAGTTACAGTTGAGAATTTTTTCTGAAAATGAAATTCAGTTATGTGGCCTTGCAATGAGCTGGCAATTCTGATTTACTGCTCTTTTCCCATTATTTTCTGATTTTCTATTCTGATGTTTTCTTCTAATTTCATTATGCAGCGCAATCTGTACTTGGACCCTTTTTATGGATTTTTCTTCAGTCTCGGATTCACTTAACCAGTGCAGGGCTGATTCCTGTAGTAGCCTGATTCTATTGTCGAACAGAACTGTTTTGGGATCTGGTTTATGAAGCCGATATTGCTCTCTTGAAGAATCAGTTGTAGAAAAATGATGAATGTGTGTAGTTTTTGAGATGAATCTGCAGCTTACACTAGTTCTGCCTTAGATCTGTTTAGAATTTGGAGTTTCGCATGAAGTAACTTTTGAATGAAAATGTTTTGTGTAATTCCTTGTAATGATGCTATGTACTTTGTATGCCATGCATATGAACTTTAAATGTGGACTTTGAAGCTTGAATGGATATTTGGACAGAACTTGTAATGGCCATTGAAACCTTTGTAATGGTTTTTTGAATAGTCGAAACTCGAACCTTTAACCAAGATAAACACAATGTGATGTAGACTTGACTCAATCATCAAATACAAACTTTGCGCAATATGGCCATATCAATGCGCCCAAAAATTTCTTAGCCTTTTATTTCAAAATTCCTTGGTTTACCTCAACTGATTCTTGAATGAGATGTTGCATTATGGATAAATCTTGCAAAAATATTGATCCACTTGAATGTCTTGCTAGTAGAACATATCCATATAAATGGGCTTTCCAATATATATGCTTGAATCGGCCATAAGGGAGTTATAAACTGATACTTTGAGTTATGCTTCTTGATCATTTGCCAATGGAATTCGTAACACATATGAGCCCTTGGGATGAACAATGATGTGGAATAATCTTGGAAATAACAACTTGAATCAAAATAACCACTTGAATGGAATTATAATGAATGACTATGCCTTGCCATTTGTATCTCATCTTTTTGCATTCCAAGAAACCCTTATGATTAAGGTCTCCAAACTCGCTTGAATCGAATTCTCGAAAATAAACCAATGCTTAGACTTCTTTAGTACCATTTGATTATCCTTTAAGCACTTCACTTCATGACTCGGTGAATGAATTCCAACCAACTTGCATATTCAATGAACTAGTCCTGAACTCAAGACATGTCATAACATTCAATCAAATCAATAATATTCATGCATGAACTCAGTCCAGACAACAACCTCTCCATATTGCAATTGCCCAAAATCAAAGCCTTTATTCATGTTTGTCTAACTCAATTAGCACTCTCCCGCGTCATATCTTATATTATGCTTCAATATTTGTAATTCAAGTCACAAACATGTCTACTTGAAAATGTAAGGCTATAATCCTTAAGAAATTTCCTTGAAGATGATAATTCCTGACGCACAATATAAAGCTTTATGAGAAAGTCCCTTGATAAGAACAAACCTTAATCTCATGATCTTTGACGAAAAACCCGATTGGAACACAATTGCCAAAAACCTGGCTTTGATCACATATGGGGAAATAAACCCTGATAGCCTCGCGGCTTGATGAAGAAAGAAATCCTCAACGACCAACGTCACAACCCTAATTCCACTGCTCACTACCTGAATAAGAAATCAGTCTTTATTGGATACGAACGCCTTAACCATTGTGAAACCCTAATATCACACAACCACTGAACTTTGAACCTCAGAGCTATATTGAATGAAATGTATGCCATGTTAGTGACCTAATGGAATAGATGCAGATGAATGCAAAAGTCTAAGCCAAAATAAAAGAAATTAGGAGGGCAAATTTTGGGGTGCAACATACATACATGGGTTAATCAATTTACTTAGTCAAATTTTGGAATGGTAATTTGCTTTACATGATAGGTTAATTATTTGACCTTAATTAAAAAAAACAAAATTTCATTCAAACAAAGTCTTTGTAAATCGATTGACATAGACATGTTAATTGATTTACCTGATTTATACTTAGAAAAAAAATTCTAAGTTAAAAATGTTGAAATTCTGGCACTTGCAATACAAGGTCAAGTCTGATGTCATAACACAGAAACACGATGTTAGGACAAACGTTATGACATATGTTGACAAAAAAACCCTGCTATAATTGTTGATTATGCAGAAAGATAAATAACATAAATTTAAAGAACACAATCAATTGTTAACCGAGTTCGGTGCAACATCACCTACTCTGGGGGATACCAAGAAAAAAAGGAAACTCACTATGATAATATTAGTTCAAATTTAAACCAACCCTAGTTTACAACTTCTCTCCTAATCACTACCTTCTGCAACTTCTACCTAGAAACCACTAGATATAAGATCCCCCTCTCACTTCCAATCACCGCAATGATATACCTATAACCATAAACCTTGTAAATAGACTTAAAAAACCAAAATAACATTACACTTCTAATTAATAATACCTAGTCAAGACTCTTAACTAAAATAAATACTTGGTTTTGCTTAAAAGCTTTACCCAAGAACAATGCTCAACTCTTTGCTTAAAAACTTCAAAGTGAGAACAATAGCTTGATAAACAAGCAACAATCATTCAACTCAATGCATCAAATTACATTAGTGACATACAAAGAACACAAACACTAAAAAAATAAAAAACTCCCAAAATCCTAAATCCTTATACTGCATCCACAATTTCTTCTCGTAAATGCTTGCTATTTTAGGTCTAGCAAGTATTTATTTATAGACTCTTGCAGTATGGGCTTGGACTCTTCAAAAGATCCAATCTTCACGTTTAAAAACAACTGCAAGATATTCTCATATAAATAGGAACAAATATTTTTAAATCTTCCTAAAAAGTCTCCAAGATCCTTTTTTAAAAAACAAATCAATTCTGAACATTATTCATAGATCATCTCCTAGATTTGCGCATAATGATGAGGAATATTCAAAATGATATCATTAAATCAAATCCAATTTGTCAAGAGATAACCAACAGTAGTGCCCGTTGTACACATACCAGAATGACACGACGTCTATCTTTGACATCTGGTTGAAAACTCATAACAGCTGAACTGTCATGACAATTAATGAAAATGTTATAACATCTTGCTCAACATCAGTATAGAACCATGTTTTACCAAAATTTATCCAATCATAAAACCATGGAACTAACAATCTCTCCCTTTGGAAAATTTTGGCTAAAACAACCAAAGCATGAAAAACCTGGAGATAGGAATAACACCACAACACAAGCTACATGCAACCATGTAAACTTTGTACAAACGGCATCCATAAAAATATATCAAAGACTTCATGCAGTTACAGATCACTATCTTCAATACTTCAGAAGAACAAATGTCCATACATATGGTCTGACATCAAACATTACAACTCCTCCACGACACATAAGCTAGACAGATCAGACATGTTCAATACTCCCCTTGTCACACATGATGAAGACTCCCCCTCAAGGGAAACTAAAAACACCAAAAAAATCTAAAACACCAAATATGAACTACCCAAGTTCACACATAAGAGGCAGCGGCAACAGAAGATACAAACAACCTTACAACATGATTTACTCATATCAGACAAGATGTCATAACATCAGACAATACATCCTACACATAACTCCATCAGTAGTAGCAATAACAAAAAATTCACCTTCAAACCAGCATGACAATCTATCATGCTCCCCCTAAATAGTTGCATACAACAAGCAACCAAAATAACCACTCTCTCCTTACCAATAACACATTCCTATCAATATGCTAATTTACATGTCAAGACATGTTTCATAACATCAGGATACACATATAGCACTAACACTTTACTCCCCCCTTTTAGCCAAAACTTGACAAAAACAGGAGTAAATGTAAACACAATTGGAAGCACACATGGAAACGCAAGCATAAACACATATGGAAGTACAAATTAGAAACACATATAAGTAGATGGAAACACACAAACTTAACCAACTTTAGGTGGTCATCCACCTCTTTCCCATATCAAAGATCCTCCTGCGCTCCTTGGTGATGTCACCAACCCTTTGCAGAGAGTCTTTGTGCCATCCAATAGCAACATGGTTAGGCTTCCTAAGCATTAAAACATAGAGGAAAAATGCATTATCAGTTGCACTCCTCCATAACTATAATTGCTATAACTCTTCAATAATACAAGTTCCAATCCCACTACTCACGATAATAAGTTATTTCTTGTTGTCCATATGC